AATAAAAAGTGTGTTCCCGTCAAGAAGTTCCTGCCGTCAATTCCCATACTTCACAGGTACCAAACCCTTGGTTTGCGTCTGACTCAAGTTTAAAATCACGGTCAGACTACATTGCTACATTGACCATTTAAGTTTTTCGGTAAAGTCGCGTAGGTAAAAAATCAAAATTAATCAAAGTAAAATAAAATAAAAATCACGACGTTTCGGAGGCAACACAAGCTTCCTGGCCCATCCCCCTCCCATAAACCAGTATATATACGGGGTAGTATCCCTTGGAATCTCTCATTTACTTGATTGCAGCAAGCGTGCTGTGACGGTTCCACCTGAAGACGGAAGCTTGTGTTGCCTCCGAAACGTCATGATTTTTATTTTACTTTTATTAATTTAGATTTTTTTACCTATGTGACTTTACCGAAAAAACCTAAGAATATGAATACTTGCAGTCACGAAAGCTTCAAATCTAGAATTGGCCATTTAAATCAGCCCTATTGGTTTTCCGGTTTTCCAGACGCACCACACAACAGCACAAGAAGACGTCGCGACTAATAACCTCGGGTACGGCGCCGCATTACTGTATCACTCCGCTCAGCCACTCAGCTCAAGAAAGTAGTTCGTCGTCGACCGCTCAGAAACCGCGTCACAACGGTGCGCGTTCCACGTTGTTGTGCAAAGTAGTCCCTCGTGGAAGAACCGCGTGAAGAGAGGACTTATCGTATGGTCCGCCTGATAGCACGTCTTTCTGGACTCTTAGTTCAGTCCTTTGTGGAGTCTTAGCGCTGTGATTGTTTGCTTGCTGTGCGAGGTGTACAGCTGTAGAATTGTAATGTATTACAGTATCTTCTTGTTTCTTTCGGTAAAGTAACGTAGAAGGGAAATAATAAAATAATAAAAATTAAACATAATAAATAATCTTACAATAATAAAAATAAAACATAAAAAAATACTATATTATTTTATTATGTTTTATTTGTATTATTTTATTATTTCCCTTCTACGTGACTTTACCGAAAGAACCAAAAAGATGAATCCCTGCAGTCACGAAAGCTTTAAATCGAAAAGTATTACAGTATATTCATTTTCATGGGTAATGGTGAACGTAAATAAGATAAAGTTGTACAGCATCGCTGAAAAAACTAACAATTGTCGAAAGAGTAACTTTACCGAGCTTTACCGAAATAACCAGAGTATGGATTCCTGCAGTCACGAAAGCTTCAAATCAAGATTGAGTAATAGGGTTTTAAAAACGCAAATTAAATGGGAGTATCCACGTGGACGGATAGGATGGCAACATTCATTGTTCTTCGACAAGTTGGACGGAACTCCAGGACTGGAAAGGAATAAAAAGGCTTTTACACCATTGGAATCTGGTCCAACACCATGTGAGACTGGGCTCTAAGAAAAGCTGTCTCGGGTGTGGACCAATCAATTTCAAGGACAGTGCATACATCATCAGAGTTGTGTTTTTTGTTTGCATTTCGACCGCAGGTATTGTGGTCAATGCAAACATGACTTCTCACAACTAAACCCGTAAAAACAAAGTTTTTCACTCTAAATCCTTTATATGCGTGGCGGCTAGAGTTCTCTCGTCCTCTGGCTTGAGATGGCTGCAATCTATGGGTCAGATGATTGTCTGCCAGTATTAAGCAATTGGTAATTAAATATTTAATTAGTTTTCCCTAAACAGTGTAAAATTTTGGAAAAAAAATTTCACGAAAATTAATTGTCACACACAACGAGTCTGTGTGGAAAATGTCAGGTCGTTTGGATCACGGGAAGTGGGTTAAAAAACGAGCGAAATATTTGCACGGTCCTAAGCAAGCAAGCGAACTTAATATAAAGGATTTAAAAATATATTCGCCTGTGGAGGACGCGGGGATCGATCCCGCGACCTTTGGCATGGGAAGCGAGGGCGCTACCAACTGCGCTACTCCGCCACGGCCTGTGGAGGGGTTACGCTCTGGGCTCTTGCACTGTGATGTTCAGCCAAAGCCATGAATGCGTTCTATCTGAATATATGTAAAATAAAAAAAATTTGCCTAAAAAGTGTCCTAAGCAAGCAAGCAAGCACGCGAACTTAATATAAAGGATTTAAAAAAGGTGTCAGTTTTGTTGCCAGATAAAAGGGTAAAAGAACAATTATAATAAAAAGGCCGTCTGCTCTATATTAGGTGTATGGTGCTTTTTCTGGAAGACTTTGCAGTTTTTTCCTGGATTTTTCTGTTTTCTGTTTGTTGCGGTTGCACCCGATTCAAGAGCCGAATGGCTCACAGGGCTATCTATATATATAAAATCGTTCATGTCTGTCTGTCTGTGTGTGGACTTTGGCCCATACGCACTTTCATTGGACGGCGGTTGCCCCTGGCAACGGCTAGCCACGCCTTCGCCGCTTTCATTGGACCTGGCAACGGCTAGCCACGCCTTCGCCAAGGGCTGCAGTTTCATTGGACGGCGGTTGCCCCTGCCAACGGCTAGCCACGCCTTCGCCACTTTCATAAGCTCCGTATTTAATTAAATAATAGCCATTACACAGTATTGTTGGGGGGGGGGGGGGGGGGGGGGAAGGAACGCCACCCGTACCCTGCCTTTTCCAAGCCGACAATTTTAGGCGAGGCCGCAGGCTTTGCACGCTACTAGGCCTCGACACCCACCACGCCACTCTGAGGTAAATTCATCAAAGTTTTTCCTACTCTTCACTACACCCCCACCACAATGTGTGCTATTAATATTACTTTTAAACCCAACGCGCCAACAATCGATTACTTTAATGTTCACTGTACAAATACTCATTAAGCTGGGTGAGCGTACTGCCAGTCTATCATGTACACTGTAGCCTGCTTATTAAGCTCGGTGAGCGTACTGCCACTCTATCATGTACACTCTAGCCTGCTTATGAAGCTGAGTGCGTGTACTGGCAGTCTATAATGTGGACTCTTGCCTGGTTATTATAATCGATTCTTTATATGTTCTTTGTACAAACAGTCATTAAGCTGCTTGCGCGACCCCAGTTCGATTCCAACTCACGCCCACCACCGCTGACGATTATTTGAAACGGACCTGGCCCTCCCCTAGGTCCACTCAGCCTCAAAAGCGTAACTGCTGTCGTGTGTGAACATCGTCACTGGGGAGACAAAGGCGGCGGGGCATCGTGGATCCAAGTCCCGGGCGAAGCCGGGTCATGTGTATGTGTGTTTATGTGTATGTCTGTGTGTCTCTATGTATGTGTGTATGTATGTGTATGTATGTGTTTGTGTGTATGTGTGTGTGTATGTATGTGGGTTTTTTTTATGTCTTTATGTGTATGTCTGCGTGTCTCTATGTATGTGTGTATGTACGTGTGTGCATGTGTTTGTGTGTATGTATGTGTGTGTCTATGTATGTGTGTGTATGTGTTTCTGTGTATGTATGTGTGTGTATGTATGTGTGTTACGTGTCTGTCTGTGTGTCTGCATGTATGTGTGTGTGTATTGTGTATGTGTTTGTGTGCATGTATGTGTGTGTTTGTGTGTATGTGTATGTCTGTGTGTTTGTATGTGTGTGTATGTGTTTGTGTGTATGTGTGTGTATGTATGTGTGTGTATGTGTTTGTATGTGTTTGTGTGTTTACGCTCGCATTACACAAATGTGTTGCTGGTCTAAGGCGTTCCTCGCACAGCATTGCCGCTTTATTATTTCAGTCGTTTACTGCCTTACGCACCCTGAAAGTCGTGTGTGTCTGCAGCAAGCGCGTGTATGTGTACCTATGGACGCGCGCGTGTGTTGTGTAGGGGGAACGGTAGTGTAGTGCTTAGCGTGCTGTCTGTGTCTGTGTGTGTGTCTGTGTGTGTGTCTGTGTGTGTGCGTGTGTGGTGTGTGGGGAGCGGTAGTGTAGTGCTTAGCGTGCTGTCTGTGTGTCTGTGTGTGTGTCTGTCTGTGTCTGTCTGTGTGTGTCTGCGTGTGTCTGTGTGTGTGTCTGTGCGTGTGTGGTGTGTGAGGAGCGGTGGGTGTAGTGCTTAACGCTACGCTGCGCTACCAACCCGGCGAACCGAGTTCGATTCCCGCTCACGGCCACCACCGGTGACGATTATTTGAACCTCCCCTAGGTCGACTCAGCCTCAAACGAGTAACTGGTGTGGCGTATTAACATCGGCACTTGGGAGACAAAGGCGGCCGGGCGTGGTGGATCCAAGTCCCGGGCGAAGCCGGGTAGTACAGCTAGTACCTAATAAATGAAACTGAAAAACGTGTGTGCGTCTCTCCCAGTGGCTGCGTGGATTTTTCTCCGGGTCCTCCGGTTTTTCCCCTCCACATTCAGAAATGTGCGTTTAAGAATATTTTGCTTGCGATAAATGTCCACATAAGCTACTTCTATTTAAAGCGTTCGTGACTGCAGGGATTCATATTCTTGGTTCTTTCGGTAAAATCACGTAGAAGAGAAATAATAAAACAATTACATTCTCACGTTTCGATTGCAACACAAGCAATGATCATCAGGTGTGAAAACCACAGCAAGAACATTTTCTTGCTGTGGTTTTCACAAGAAAATGTTCTTGCTGTGGTTTTCACACCTGATGATGATTGTGTTGCAATCGAAACGTGAGAATTTATTTTTATTATTTTATTATTTCCCTTCTACATGACTTTACCGCAATAACCAAGAATATAAGCTACTTCGTTGAGCTATTTGTGGCAATGTCGCTTCTGAAGAATAGCTATATAGCTCAGTGGGACTTTCCTGATAAAATAGTTTAATGGTTAAGAAATGTATTTATTGTATTGGGTAAGCCGACAGTGTCTTCGGGGAGATCTTATAACGAGGGGGTGCCCGCACCTGAACTAGAATCTGTGTTATAATCGCGGAGCACTGTTTGCAAAAGTGCTTTGCCCAGACAATTATCATGCTCACGCCATCGTATCCCTAAATATATTTTTTTCCGAGGAGACACACGCATGTAGGAAGGTGTCACATAATCCACGCATATGCATAAAAAAAACTTGATTTATTTATACACAGTTCAAAGTCTGAAATGAGCAATTTTAGATTTTCAGGGTGAATTTGAATATCCTGATGCAGCAGTTTGATGCTGGAACTGCTGGATTCAACATCTTCCAGGAGCACAGCGATTCAACATCAAGCAAGGCATCGACACCATCCTCATCCACCACAGTGAAGGAAGAGAGCACGGAGGAAAAACGTAGAAGAAAACTCCAACCTGAATATTAAAAGTGGAAATCACAGTATTGGGCCCAGACATTGGCTCAATAAAAAATAAATATAAAAATGAATAAATGACAGTACACACACATGTCTACTCGGTCTTGAACACGGTCTTATTTTACTAAGACGGATGCTCTCCGCTTAACCATCCCACTGCCTCCCGGCTGTCAGGTGCTTCAGGTGGACACGTCTCTGAAGCCTCTGAAGGAACCGGAGGGCACGGGGGTCACGTGCTGCTGCTGCTGCGGGGAGCAGGCGAGCCCTCGTCTGCACACGCGCCCAGCGCTTGCCGCACGCCTCGTGTGGTCACGCAAAACGTGCTAGGGTCTTGGCGGATCCAAGGGTGGGGAAACGGGGGTGATGTATGTACGTATGTTTAACTTCTATCATATTGTACGGGATAGCCTCCCCCTTAAGACCCCACAATTAGATTTTTATATTTACCACAAGCAACACATTCCATGTTTTGTTAACGTGCGGCTTGAAATATCGCCAATGCCGTCTCACCCCTTGGGACGTTTCGAGTATTTGGCTGCTATAAATTTCCACATACAGTAAAACCTTGGATTGCGAGTAACTTGGTCTGCGAGTGTTTTGAAAGACAAGCAAATTTTTACAATAAATATTAATTTGATGAACGAGCGAAGTCTTGCCATACGAGTAGTACGTGTATACGCTTTGTCTGCCAAGCATCACGTGATCACAACTGATATACGAGTGCTTTGATATACGAGTGCTTTGGATGCTCGCAATCCAAGGTTTTACCGTAAGCCACTTCGTTGAGCTTCTGATAAAGAGCTATACAGCTCATTGGGCCTTACCTGGTGAAATAAAAAGTTTAGTTTCAACTTACTGTGGTGCACCCAAATATACTAGTGGGTGGACAAGTGGGTTTAATTTACAAAATGTGTTCCCTGAGATAAACTCAGCCTTAATTTAGTCTCTGTACCTATACTGGGTCTGCCCTAGGTCGACTCAGCCTTAAAATAGTATGAATCTATACTCTCGCATAATTATTATAACTCGTAACCATACTACTATCCCTACCACTACCCCTAAACTATTCCGAAAACTTGAACCTAACATTAAGGTTACACTAAATACGAAAACAAATGTGTGCTGACATCATAAGCAGGTACCCTTCATCTAGGAGTGGACCAATCATGGCTGCTGAGAGGGTCGATTCATGTTTTACATTACCACAATTTTTTCTAAATCTTAAGTTTAATGAGTTAGTGCAACAAAACATGGCACACTATTCGTACTATACACTGCAAGCAGTATTTACACAACACTTACAATTTTTGTACAAAAATATGTTTTAAATGTATCTTTAAATAACTTGGGGGGGGGGGGGATTTCTTCAACGTGTTTGTAATCTGTCCCTTATAGTATTATGCATGTGGGAGCAAACCTGAGGAAACCCCCTCATAAGAGGGGATAACACTGAAGCTGGTTGTTACAGCAGTGCGTCGCATATCCGACTCACTGGCGAGAGAGGCATAGGTAGATCGTTGAAAATGTTGTTTAAGTAAACATGCATATAAAATGGCGACTCCACGTACACATCTGGCACTGGATGCGGTCGGTTAATTGGTCCAGGTGGATATATGACATTGTAGAGGAAGCCCTCTATTTACGTGGCGGATGCATCCCTGGGAAGCACGGCATTTGACGGACAGCGTACATCGAAAACTATTTAACCACCGACTTTAATGATATAAATTTAGGACACGTCCCAGGGGGTAATATTTGGGTGAAAGTTTGCACAATGCCACAAAAGATAACAAAAGATGGCCAAAACGATAGTACACAAGTTTAAATATATACGGTAATACAAAGTCCTCACCAGAGATGGCGCGAGAGATTGTATTTAGAGAGGGTGGTACAGTGTACAGTATGTTGTAAACGAAGAGGCTTTAGCGCCCACTAGGGGGCACCATGGCATAGCGCGTATTGACGCACACCACCCAACCTCCCGCGTTCTTTTCTTTAAAAAATTTCAAAACGGAGTGAATCAATTAATTTAAAATCCCATTATGTTCCCTAATTCGTTGGCTATGTTACAGCGAAACAACGTAGAAATAGGAGCAACGTAGAGAGAGGGCTCACTGAACTGTGTGTCGCGTCTATTTGATGTAATCACATCCCACAGGTTACCATCCCACCATCTCCCGGCACGCACGATGGCTCCGTCTCTGCACGATCCACCGACCCCCACCCACTTAAATTTCGATTTAAAGCTTTCGTGACTGCAGGGATTCATCTTCTTGGTTCTTTCGGTAAAGTCACGTAGAAGGGAAGTAATAAAATAATAAAAATAAAACATAATAAACGGCTGCTTGCGTTGTGGTCGAAACGTTGTGAGAATTATTTTATTATGTTTATTATTTTATTACTTCCCTTCTATGTGACTTTACCGAAAGAACCAAGATGATGGACCCCCACCCACTTCCGAGTCGCTGGCTCACAGGACTCGCCGTGGCTACCGCCGGGCTCGCTGTACTGTGCGAGACGCCGCTACGATGGTCGCGACCGCTTGGATGCTTGAGAAAAATCCTGCGTGCGATACACAGGCAGCAGAGAATGGCGGACCTCAACCAGAGTACATACACAGAACGCACAACCCTGCGCCGTCATTGTCAGCAACGAATGAAGGTTTATCTCAAGTCGTCGCTGTATAGTTCACGGTTCTGCGATGCAACAACCCACCGAGCACCGACACACAAGCCGATGTCATTGCTCCATCTCTTTGGTGGGCACTCTCTCCTGTTCGTTCCATATCCTTGGGCTGCCAGTATTCTAGACCATCGGCCATCGTCCCTTCTAGCGACATTTCCTGCCCCAGCTCACTTTTAACAGTTTTAATGACCTCTTTTAATAACTGGCGTATAAATGTTGCGTGTACGAACATCACGCTCCTGGTTCATATAAAGTTAACTCTTGAAATATCTGGGGTAATGGGAGGAGGCGTGACCCGATAAAACACAAATGTGGAAAATAAAAAGAACATTCAAATTCGGCTATACGAACTTATGTATTCTAAACTTGCGGAGAATGCAGGTGATAACGTATAATTACTTTTACAATGGTTTACTTAGCAAAGCGTCACCGAGTACCATAACTATTCTTCATGAGAGTTCTGCAAAGCTTTCACAGTAGTGCGCGATGATCATGATGTATATTCCCAATTTAATAATTTGTGGGTAACTTTTCATTTTGACAAATATGGCCCCTGACGCAGGCACGCAACGGCCTCCCCTTGCAAATGACGTCACGGGATCTTGAATGTCAACTGTGAAGTAGACTGAGTGTATTGTTACAGTGAATAAACCCGTAGTGATAATCAGCGTGGTCGTCCTAAACCGTGAACCCTTGCGTGGAGCAGCGAACGCACGAATGCTAGGCTATGTCACCGCCCGTTGGATGACTCATCATTATCTTTGACTAAAATAACAACAAAAATCACCCTTTTGGCATTTATTTTCGTCACTAATTTCACGAACCAAATGAAGCGGTGAGCGTCACGAGAGCGACGCGGTGACAAAGCCTCACCGTGCTCTGCTGGAAGAAGTGCGGAGCAAGTTCCGTGAGCCAGGCCGGCTCCACCGCCGTCACGTCCCTCATGAAGAAGCGAGATGTCTGCACCACCTCGTTAAACACCACCCTGACACGCGCGCGCACACACACACACGCATAGAGAGACCCTCATTTAGGATTAAACATTGGAGGGGGCTGCTGTGGTGCAATGGCTAACACACTGCACTAGCAATAGAGAGATTGCTGGTTTGACCTCGCACGGCAGCTGAAACAAATGGGATATCTTAAATGCCCCTGGCCTCTGTCTACCCAGCAGTACAAATGGGTACACCACCAGCTCTGACAAGTAAAAACATCTTTACTCTCATATGAAGAACAGGTGGGAAAGTCCTGCCATTTACTGTGAGCCAGCGGTGGACTGAAAGGAATCTCAGAAGTAACTCTGTGACCTCCGCTTCAGTGGGCCATTCTCTAACAGATGGTTTTCATTGCTCTGTGAGGGACACGAATGGATACTTGGTCCCATCACGTGATGGCGAGAGCATAATCGGGGTTACAATTTTATGAAAAATCACAGGTTTATGAAGAATGAAAGACGTTGCGTTATCATTACCACTGCGGTGGCTTCTCGGCATAGAGCATGGAGGTCGGGTGGATGTGGAGCTCAAAGTCGTCGCGTACCGTCCTGTTTAACAAAGAGAAAAATCCAAGTCAACGTACATCCTATGCCATTACAGGATTCACCCGCTATAAATTGTTGCACTACGCGTTGTTTCCCATAAACGTTGATGAATTATGGAAAATATTTATTCATAAGTTTAAGTGCTGTTGATATGTGCCTATTAAGGCCGGCAATGTGCACAAAGAGTGGTGGGGGGGTGGCAGTATTGGACTTGGTGGCCGTACCAAGTCCAGTGGCCTTTGCTGATGTTAATACACACCACCAAACCACGTACTTATTACGGCTGAGTCGACATAGGGGAGACTCAGAACTGGTTCGGATGTCACTCACACCACTGATGTGGGCCACGGCACAGAACCAAACTTAGGTCGTTGGGTTTATAGCAACCACGCGACTACGCCCCCACGACACACCCACTCATGTCTACACACGTAAACCCCTGAGAAAAAAACAAATAGCAGGGATCCAATCTCAGGTGCTCAACAGCACCAGCAGAGTGTCTCTGCCCATGGCCATTGTGAGTTCTCTTAGAGAAGCAGGTAGAGACCCCTCTTAGTCCAGCACCTGAGCAGTGCTGGCTTCGTGTGGGACATGGCAATTGCAAGTCCCCTGAACCCCACAGCCAACTTTGCTTCTCCTAAGCCAAACATTCCATGATTGCGTGGTGTGTCTCCACGAGCTTCCGTTCCGTGCCTCTTCTCTCGTCACATCCACCCGTCCTCGCGTCTCGTTCCAACCCATCCTCCCATCTCCACCTCGGTCTCCCACTACTCCTTCTGCGTTGCACCTTTAGCATCTCCATATGGTAATCTTCACATTGTACCATCTTTGTCTCTTCTCAACACAAACCATCAAAGTCTCACTTCCTTAACTTTCACAATAATCTCAGTACCCCTGCTAAAGCTCTAACGACGACCACCCCATCGTATTAGAATGCATGGAGAACACCGCACCTGTAGGCTCCACTGTGGTGTAGTTTGGCGGCATTGGCGAAGAACCCGGACACAATGCATCTCCGCACAGGGTCTGCGTCTCCTGCTCAGGCACACAGAGCGGGAAGACCAGATACACAAAACACACCGGCTACAGGGACGATCTTGTGCCAGAGTGCATCGCTTAGGGTTTGAAAGATTAAAATGCTTCTTGACGAAATTTTTTTGAGAAATCTGTTCCACAGCCCACACTGTGTGAATATTAATTTCTGGGCCTAAAATTTCCCTATTTTTTTATTTATTACTTAACCATTTTTTATTGAATTCAACAGTGTTGCTACGTTGTTTTTTCATTTCACAATAACTTACACACAAATAATTCAATAATGTTGTATTGCCTTAATTTAGCTTATTAAAGCATGAACAATAAAAAAAATATTCACATTTACATGCAACAATCACTCTTTGCAGGACATATAAATGGTGTGTCCCTTGTGTAGATACAGGCCCATTCAGATAAGTTTTATGACTTCCACCTACCAAGACCATTCTCCGGCACAAGGTGGTAAACCCTGCTTGTTGTGAGAGTTCCGAAAGAACATTTTTACTGGTAGGAACCTCCTGGTTACACCAGCCCACAGGGGATTATTGTGTCCGTCCGTCGTGCAGGGAGGGGCTAGGTGGGGAGGGTGGGGAGGGGCTGGGTGGGGAGGGTGGGGCTGGGTGGGGAGGGGAGGGTGGGGAGGGTGGGGAGGGAGGGGAGGGGCTGGGTGGGGAGGGTGGGGCTGGGTGGGGAAGGGCTGGTCACCCCGTGGTGCCCTTATAAAACTCAACGTTTAACCTACTCACGCCGGCTTGTGCCCGCCCTCACAGTCGGGCATATTTGCGGAATACACCACGCCGCCGTTGACCCTGGCCATTGACCGAGCAACCCAACGTTCCTACCAGCTCCCTCCACAGGAAGTGTTTAATCTTAAAAAAATGACATCGATAGCAAACGTGGAATGCCCATGTGCACATACCACCCTCTCTCAACCCATCGATGGAAGAGGGCCCCCCCACACAGTTTGGGTCGTTGAGGTCAGCCATACTTCGCCACGCTTCTCAATGCACTTCGGTGGAAATAGCCAACTTAGGATCAGTTGTACAAACTATAAAAACTATATTTTTTTATTCTACCAGGTAAGACCCAGTGCTATATAGCTCTTTTTTAGAAGCGTCCTGGCCATCACAAATGATAGTTTAACGAAGTGGCTTATTACGTGGACATTTATTGCAGCCAAATACTCTTTAAACACACATTTTCCAAATGTGCAGGGTAAATATTCTTAGGTTTTTTCAGTAAAGTTACGTAGGTAAAAAATTAAAATTAATAAAAGTAAAATAAAAATAAAATAAAAATCACGACGTTTCGGAGGCAACACAAGCCTCCGTCTTCAGGTGGAACCGTCACAGCACGATAGCTGTATCGAAACAACCTAAGAATATGAATCCTTGCAGTCACGAAAGCTTCAAATCTAGTGGAGGGTAAAACCAGAGGACCCGGAAAAAAATCCACATGACCACGGGGACAGCATGCAAACTCCAAAAATACAGTCAGTTCAGATATCACTCGTCAATGAGGTCAAGCTCAAGTTACCGGATTCATCGTGCAGTGTGCCAACCACTGTCCCACCGCTCCCCTGGCCTAGGGAGGAAGAAACGTACCGTTGCTGGAGTTGCTGGGGATGTGGAACCTTCGAAGAAGCTTCCGAAGCTGCTCCTGCAGGATTCCAGCCCGCACTAGCCCCTTGTAGTTGAGGAAGTGTTGCTGGCACCAGGCAGAACTCTTGTTGTGCTGAGTTCCATACAAAAATTAACCCGTAAAAACAAAGTTTTTCACTATAAATCCTTTATATGCGTGTTCAATGGGCCACAACCCAGCCCACATTGGTCTTTGAAACGGGCGGCTAGAGTCCTCTCGTCCTCTGGCTTGAGATGGCTGCCACCTATGGGTCAGATGATTGCCTGCCACCATTAAGCAATTGGTAATTAAATATAATGTTTTTTTTTTTTACCTAAAAAGTGTAAAATTTTGGAAAAAAAATTTCACGAAAAGAAATTGTCACGCACAACGAGTCTGTGTGCAAAATGTCAGCTCGATTGGATCACGGGAAGTGGGTTAAAAAACGACCGAAAGATTTGCACGGTCGTAAGCGCGCAAGCAAGCAAGCAAGTGAACTTAATATAAAGGATTTAAAAATGGGAATGTTTGTCGAGAGGTCACCTCGACCAACCATCGCCACTGATGCCAACGCATATCTTCCCACGCTTCCTTACACTTTCTGGATTGTCTCTCATTGTTTATCACTACGGTCGACACGTGACCTCGAAATGTGCAAGGTGATTTATTACACATTCCTAAAGCAGAGACCAATTTCTCTACAATTTTCCATTTGTTTCAACTCTAAAGGGGGTCTCTAACCTTCCACCCCCCCCCCCCCCCACTCAAAACGCCCCCATTAAACGCAGAACACTGTACATCGGCCTACGATATTTGGAGGACAAATTTAAAATAGCAGCAGTCAAGAGCTCACCTTCACGAATGCCTCAAACACGTTCAGCATCGTCATGTGATCGCCCTCTTCCACGGCAAACTTACGCTGCTGACGAGCCTGCACGCAACACACCGCAGTCACGGTGGGCAGGGTTGATGGATCACACAGAGATAATCGTGTGCTGCAAGACTCGCAAGCTGCACGGCTGCAAGATTGGCGCAAGAAACAAGCATGTTGACCTATGCGTAGTTTCTTTTTTTGGGTCATCCTCTCTTACAGCTGGGTTTTCTCCGGGCACTGCTTTCGTCCCACACGCATATGAATAAGCAGCAAATGAAATGGCCAAAAATCCCCCAAAAATGCTCAAGAAAGACAGTGTTCACACTCAGTTGCTCCTCCGTAAACACCTATAATGATCGAAGTATAAGACGGCTTTGGCCTACGATCAAATAACTTGGAATGCACCCGGCCTCATCACATCTCGGAAGATAAGCAGGTACGAAGCCTGCCTCGTGTTAAAATTGCTGACCACCATTTCACAGCAGGCTGCCGTAATTGGAATCAGGGCTGTGCTATGTGGTGCATGGACTCAGGTGCTGTACGTATACAAGATCCCTTGACGACGATCGATGATGAGGAACTTCTTCTTGGTTCTTTCGGTAAAGTCACGTAGAATGGAAATAATAAAATAATAAAAATAAAACATAATAAAATAATTCTCACGACGTTTCGGCCACAACGCAAGCAGCCGTCCTCAGGTGGAGAACAGGTCTGTCGAGAAGGTCTGTCGAGAAGACAGACCTGTTCTCCACCTGAGGACGGCTGCTTGCGTTGTGGCCGAAACGTCGTGAGAATTATTTTATTATGTGTTATTTTTATTATTTTATTATTTCCATTCTACGTGACTTTACCGAAAGAACCAAGAAGATGAATCCCTGCAGTCACGAAAGCTTTAAATTGAGATGAGGAACTTGTGTGTTGTTTTGCTTACGGCCTTTATCTTCTGGTTGGGCGGAGAAAGGAACACGTTCTGAATCTGCATCATGGCGGCGATGGTGATAATCTCTTTTGAGCAACCAAAGGTTCCTGTGAGTAACAAAAACAAATCCCAAAACACATTAAAACAGTATTTTAAATAAACCCGTAAAATGTCATCACCATTGTTGAGAAACAACGATTTTGAACACTGCTCAGTGGTCACAACACTGAGCCTGGGACCACTGCGATCCTGGGGTTGAATCTGGATACCCGTGCTCGATGAAGCTTGGTTCTCAGGTGCATTGAGTTCATGGACTCAATTTAGTCACCAACGATTACACACTAAATCTCCCCATCATAATAAACTTGATGTGCCACTTTAAATCAGCATATTCCATTTCTGCCAAGTTAGGGATGTTTGCTCGATTGACATGAACAACCACAGTAGGTCGTGAAAGTGATGTCCCTCCTGTAGACAGAGGCCTACTGAAGTGACTTATAGCTCTATAAGCCCTTCTTCTGGGGTGGTTCTCGGACACAGCATGGTGAACTGCTCACCGCGAGAGGTCCAAAAAGACATTTGTGATACTACAATTACTACTATAATAGCCCAGAAATGTGTGTAACGCGCGTGACGTCACTCCACATGCCGCACCCCCACCCCCCCCCGTCATTAATAATAAACAATCATGAGCGGGTGGATTTTTACACTCACGCGGAATAAGGTCGAGCGGAAAGATATTTTTTTTCGCAAAGTCGCTTCAAACATGACGTTTCTTTACAGAAAGTGACGGACAAAAATAAATATACGCAGCACAGTGCTACATACGTACGAGACGTCACTGCAAAAGAGCCCCCCCCACCCTCCGTTATTACGTCATTGCTATAAAAAGCAAGAAAAAATTATCGCAAATTCGCTTTAAATTTGACGTTTTTTTATTTAAAGTTACTAAAATAAATAACTCTACGCAGACGTTCCTTTACGTAAATATTACAGCTTCCGTCCTGGGATGGGCAAAAGGCTAGTTGTAACATAAACGACAACTGATAAGAGGGGGCAGAAGCCAAACGAATAAGTGTGCTTCAAAATATTGTGAATTTTACATCAGGGCTGATTAGGTACTTGGCTGAGGGCATCAGTGGGACGATTACAAACTTGAAAAAAATAAAAACAGACTCTGTACCTGATTCCAGCAGCATCTTGGCATACATGGGTCCCATCGGGAACTCAGCCATGCGCACTCCTAGAGGCTCCGTCAGCTGACACTGCTCATCAAGGCCTGCGTGTGCACAAGAGGGGGGAGTGGCGGCGCAGCGGTTCAGTGCGCTGCGCTACAAACTCGGCGACCCCGAGTTCGATTCCCGCTCACGACCAACACCAGCGATAATTATTCTGAACCGATCCTGGGCCTCCCCTAGGTCGACTCAGCCTCAAAGGAGTACCTGGTGCGGTGTGTAAACATCGCTGCTGGAGAGACAAAGGCAGCCAGGCGTGGTGCTTGCCACCTACCCCCTGGTGTGCCATGCCACTTGCCCCAACAGTCTGTTAAGGCTACACAGGGGATCTTTGTCTTTGTTGTGTATTTGTGCATTTCCACAAAGAGGAAAGAGCAGTGCCTTAGCGGTTAGTTCATGGTGCCACAATCCTGGACATCCCGAGTTTGTTTCCCAGCCTTGCACATCATCATTGGCGCTAGCCAAACATGTCCTGTACATCGTCAACAATGACTCAACCATTCTCGAGTAGCTGGCACCGTGTGTGAACATCACCACTGAAGAGGCAAAGGCGGCCGTGCATTACACTGGCCAGCCTTAATATGCGCTCGCTAACATCACCCATCCCGCATGCTCTATACAGCAGCTAAACAAGTGGAGTCTTCCTGTGCATAAGCAACCCTAGGTCAACGAAGGCTACTTCCTCATTAAACTTACTGATCAACTAAACAATTGTTTATTTTACCAGGTAAGGCCCACTGAGCTGTACAGCTCTTTTTCAGAAGCGACTTGGCCACAAATGATAGCTCAACGAAGTGGCTAACCGCATGGAAATTGAAAACAGCCAAATACTCCAAGCGCAACGTTGATTCTAACATGACGACGAGGGCGCGTCTCTGCACGTGACAACAACCACTGCTGGCTTCTCACACAGCAGGCTCCGTTGACTTTGCAGGGATGATGGGCGACAGCCCCGTGCAGTGGCGGAAGTGACCGAGGCGTGCGTTAACATGCGGCCCCTCCAAAGGTATTTTAACATCCTATCTGGCCCTCAGTAATGACTCGGGGGTCACCCACCCCCCTGCTTTAAATGCACGGGAATTCAAGCGCACGCACCTCCCAAAGCGTAGAGTAGCTCCACGGCTTGCACCATGGACTCAGCTGGAGGCGGCTGTGGAGAGAGAGAAAAAACACGGGCAAGGGTCGCGTGAATTTACAAACTGGATGACAAACGCAACTTTACATAAAAAATGTTTTGTTTACAACGAAGGAGCTTAGTTCCTGGCTCGGCTCCGATGTGCCCGCGGGAAAATAAAAGTGTAACGCCGCACGAGCGAGCACGGTGAGCCTCACCGAGAGGAAGGAGAAACGCAGGACGTTGTCGATGCCGAGCGCCTTGAGCTGCAGAATGACGGGCGCCATGTCGCTCCGCCGCATCTCGGGCTCCGTCGCCTCGGGCAGCTTCGCGAACTCCGACTCTGTGTCAGCGCACGACCGTCGGCACACTCAGCGGCAGAGCGGGGTGGGCAAGCGCAGCCACCGCCAACCGTGTGGGACCCACAGGTAACTTGGAAGGGATCGTTGAGTTTAGCTCTGTGATATGTGCTACCGTGGGGCGTTTTCTAACATACAAAGGGATGCATTGCTCTGCGAGAGATCCAGACGGATTCTTTGTCACATGGCATGGCACGGAGAGCACAATCGGCATCAAAACTAGGATTACATTTCTAAACCGACACTGCAACCGATACTGTGTGCTGTGAGCGGGCACGGCGCACGCGTGAGTGGTGTGTCTAGAATCACGCCCGACCGCCCTTGCCTCCCGAGTGCTGCTGTTCATTTAAGGCTGAGTCATCCTAGGAGAGGTACAGGACCAGTTCAGATAATGACGATTGATGTTAGATGTTATCCGTGGCCGGGAATCGAACTTGAGGCCCTCAGGTTTGTAGTGCGGTGCCCTAACCACTAGACTCCCACTCTTCACATTCACGACCAGGTTGCTGGTGCAGGTGCAGTTCGACCTGCCTTAAAACAAGGACCTGATGCGGTGTGAACATACGCACTTTCGAGACAAAGGTCGCCTGGCGTTGTGCCGGCCACAGCGAGCCCGAATACACCGTGCCAGCCTTCACGAGTGCTCGCCAACAACACTCGCCTCATCGACACAACACCTAACACAGGACAGCTTGCACCAGAGGTCGCAAACGGGTTTTGATTCCTTACCCGTACCCGTACCCGGCCGCACCAGGGTCGCAAATGGGTACCCGTACCCGTACCGTTCCCTACCCGTACCCTACCCGAAATGAGTGACAAACGGCTACTCACCAGTGACTCACGGCCAACCCGTACCCGGCCGCACCAGGCTCGCAAACGGCTACCCGTACCCGTACCCAGCCGGGTACGGGTAGCCGGGTATCGGGTAGGGTACGGGTATCGGGTACCCGGTTGCGACCTCTGGCTTGCACGCTCACCGTACCTGGATAGAGACGGTAACACTTCCCCGGGCGGCTCCGCCCGGCCCGGCCGGCACGCTGCTGTGCCGACGCCCGCGATGCCGGCGTCACGAGCAGCGCGTCGACGGCACGGCGAGGGTCGTAGGCGCGCAGCTTCACAAAGCCACAGTCCACCACGAACGCGATGCCCGGCACCGTCACCGAGGTCTCCGCCACATTGGTTGCCACCACCACCTGTCCGGAGGTGCGGTTTGTTACAAACAAAATGGGGGATAATGTTCAGTACATGTTCAACATGAACGTCATAGGAACGGAATCGGAAGAAAAAACTTATTATATTCATGTACAGGTAGTCCCCGACTTACGAAGGTCCGACTTACGATATTTGGATCTTACGATGGCGATAGCGATACGACAAAATTGAAAAATATTTTGCATTTCGCGCGGCAGGCAAACGCAGCAGCGTACGAGGTACGATACTGTATGTTGGGACGCTGCCGGGATGTACTGTACGCATATAGTTTATACAGTACGGTACTGTAAATTGCTCTGTTTTGCTAAATTATCACCATTCTTTAAGACTCCTGGGGAGGCTAGGCCATTTTGGACTTACGATATTTTAGACTTACGATGGGGTCGTCGTAACACATCTCCATCGTAAGTCGGGGACTACCTGTACTTCATCGGAACGGGAAAGGGTCAATCATCCGCACGTTTTCAGACTCTGACCTTGCGACAGCTGCGGCCGACACGCTCAAACACCTTCATCTGGTCAACGTAAGGCAGCCCGGCGTACATGGGCAGGGCGCGCACGTGCTTGTGCAGGCTGCCCTTGGTGCGAGCCGCCGCCGCACGCACCTCCTCCACCACGGCCGACACGACGTTCTCCACCTCCTCCTGCACGGGCGCAGCGGCGGGCAGGCGAACGAGCGATCCGGCGGGCGAACATGCAGGTGGTGGGCGGGTGAATGAGCAAGTGGGCAAGTTTCAAGTTTAATTTACTAGGTACAAGCCCTGTGAGCCATTCGGCTCTTGAATCGGGTGCAACCACAACAAACAAAAAAACTAAAACATGAACAAGAAAACATCTTAAAGTGACTATGTGCAAGCAGAAAATCCAAGAAAAGACAGCAAAATATTGCAGAAAAAAACACCGTACACCAACGCTGTGTGCAAAAATCCCAGTGGGATGCAAGTCAAACAACAACAACCACAAGACAACTTAGATTAAGACCATCAGTCTAACTCTGTACTACAACAAACAAACATGGCCAAACCGAAAAACTTTTCAAAAATCACCAAAATAAAGCCATAAAAGCAATGAAACAGTGACCATAGGAACTGTGACCGAATTTTCACAATAAACGACGTAAACAACATGTAATACCAAACTCTGCAGCCATAGCTGGCTGCATGAGTCACTCCACAACAGCAGGAGCATCAGTCGGAGTGTCAACATTTTTCAATGCACCTTTAAGATCAGCACACTAAATCAAAACACAGATCATACTTTGCAGCGATCATCCGGAGTCAATGGAGCGGGGGCAAGCAGGTGGGTGAAATGAGCGGATGAATGAGTTGACGAGTTAGCTGAGCGGGCGAACAAGTGGGTGAGGTGCTTAGATGGGTGACCATCATGCACAGCAGATGCTGCAGGGCTGCATACTGAGCAGCAGAGGGCAGTGTAACATCATCTACTGTTTGTAATTATACGCTCCTGTTCTATGGTCTGTGCCTTCGCCAAATGACTGGCATGGTGAATTATGATTAAATGAACCCCATGACCGGCACGGCAAGGGGAGGCTCTCATCCAGCTGTGGATTGACAAAGGGCTGTGCAGGTAGAAAATACTGTGGTTCAGCCTCTGCTGAATTTGTACTCGATGTGGCAACGGAAGCTGTTGTAGGATGCTGAAGAATGTCGCGGACGGTACCTGTCCGGTCAGGAAGGCCAGGATGTCTCCGTCCGCTGCATCGTTGTGAATTTTCATGATTGTCTCTACCGTGGTCTTCACATAGTCTGGCACAGGACTTGAACACACACAATACCGACAATGAAAATAAAACTCATGACATCAATATGTAGCATCTGGCATTTGTGCTTCGCTATGCTGGATTACATGCATTCGCCACCACCGCCCAGCTCTCAATAACATGTAATCCACTAAGCAGCATTAAGACACAAATGCACGGGAAAACGACGATGGTTATAAAACACTGAATTGACATAGTTGGGAACGTAGGTACTTGCAACCGCCAGTCACCCTGGTCTGCTGAAGTGTGACAAGTGGATTGGACTCACGAGTTCTGCCCGTGAACCTTTGTCACTCCACGTGGCCACCAAGTGCACCTAGCCTGGCACAAGCGAGTATGGTCGAGGAAGTTACCTGTGCGTGTAGAAAATCTCCACGGGGTAGGTGCGTCCCTCCACGGTTAGGATGGCGCTTGTGTCCTTGTTGGGGTCCGATGTGTCATTGTGGTTGAAGAACTTCTGGAATTTCTAGATTACAAGTGAAAAAATATATAAAGGTGCAGCCCTGCAATTACTTGCTCATGTCACCGGTGGCGGAAGGGCCTCCACTAGAGGGACCGTACAGTGGCTGGTACACAAAGTCGTGAAAAGTCCTTTGTGTTCCCAGCGTTGGTTTGGTCAGGGTTAATTTAGTCAGAATTTCAGTCTTTTAGTCTTAATCTACCAAAACTTGCAGAATTTGTGTCAACTCTTCATCTGTGTACTTTATTTAGTCATTAAAAAAAATGCCAACTAAATTAAATCCACAGACTAAAACTGAACGTAATATTCCACAGGTTTCCGTCAACTAGACTACGATTAAAAAACGAACAGGCCGACTAACTTAACGCACGGATTGACAAATCAGCAGCCGCTCACTACTTTTAGTCTGAGTTGACCTGTAAGCAGAATGGCAACGATGCAGCCTGGCTCAGTATAACCGTAGCCCTGAGAACCAACGCCACCTGCTCATCACATGCAACAGCACGGCATAGATACTGGAATTTTAAAACCACGCTAGCATCAAGCACACAATCAACTCATACCTCTGCATCAAGAGTAGCAGATGCGACAATGATCCTCAGCTCTTCTCTCTTCTTCTGTATCTGCAAAGAATAAAAATGAAAAGCACTTAAGGTGAACTGCGATTAACATTTTGAAATAAAAACAAGAATTACGACAGGAATAGAGTGAAATCTTGATTTGAAGCTTTCGTGACTGCAGGAATCCATACTCTTTGGCTCTTTCGGTAAAGTCACGTAGGTAGAAAAAAAAATAGATCACGACATTTCGATCGCCACACAAGCAATCACCTGAAGACGATTGCTTGTATGGCGATCGAAACGTCGTGATCCATTATTTTTTCTACCTATGCAACTTTACCGAAAGAACCATAGGAATAGAGTGCTTTTGGAATATCGATTTGATCATCAATGTGCCCGAATAAGAAAGGTGGTTTTCAATCGGTACGTATTATCCACTGTTACACAGATCAGAATCAATGACACTAGACTGAAAAGTACTCCAGGACACATGAGAGAAATGCATTCTCGAAATTTACAGTGAAAGACAGGGGAACACGATAATCAGGAAACAAACACAATCTGAGAAATCGCATTGACTGTTAACAAAATCAGGGGGCTTAGGCGGGATACGTCGCTCGATGGGATGATGGCCGATGAAAGAAAAAAACACAAGTGATGAAACGGCAGCCCAAGGAGAAAACAAGGGCAAGAGAGAGCGAGAAGATCAGCTCAAGAGCGCGACACATTGTGGCACCGCAGGACCATGAGGTTCGCTGATGGCATGGGCAGCTCTTCATTCAGCAGTGAAAAGACAATGGCTGATCACGACAATGTATTTACACATAGAGTACATTAAATATGAAGGCACAAAGTAAATGGAGTACAGCCATTCCATTAGACCGAGGTTACTGTCAATCTTAACTCATTATAGTGATGTTAAAGCTTTCCTTTTTTAAATAAAGTCAATTGTTTTACCTTTCTTAGCAGGCCAAGAGCGATATCGGTGTACAGAGTCCGTTCATGGGCTTCATCCAGTATAATAACGCTGTCGGCAGAAAAAAAAATAGAACTCATTGAACCGTCGCACAAAGCTAACCGACAACCATACCAGGAGCCATACCGCATTCGACACATTCGTTACGGTAGGATAAGTTGCAGTAGTGTCACCAAACCTCAGCATGACGGACTGTGTTGCAGTTAAGTGGAGTCACCTGTACTTCTTCAGCAGTGGATCAGCCATCATTTCCCTCACCAGCATGCCGTCCGTCAAAAACTGTCCGCAAACACCGAAACATCACACACTTTGGCATTCATGCAGATGAATACCCAGTGAACGTTTCATATGTTCAGTAGTTCAGAGGCAGTGGAGGGAATGGTACTGGTAGGAACCTCCTGGTTATACCAGCCCACAGGAGATTATTGTGTCCGTCCGTCATGCAGGGAGGGGCTGGGTGGGGAGGGGCTGGGTGGGGAGGGGAGGGTGGGGAGGGGCTGGGTGGGGAGAGTGGGGCTGGGTGGGGGGTGGGAGGGGTGGGGCTGGGTAGGGAGGGGCTGGTCACCCCGTGGTGCCCTTATAAAACTCAACGTTTAACCTACTCACGCCGGCTTGTGCCCGCCCTCACAGTCGGGCATATTTGCGGAATACACCACGCCGCCGTTGACCCTGGCCATTGACCGAGCAACCCAACGTTCCTACCAGCTCCCTCCGCAGGAATGTGTTTATAACCTCATAATGAACAGTTGGTTTTACCACCAGAGGTAGTACCAACAAGTGGGGCAGTGCGCCCATCTAAATAATGTGGCCATATGCACCGTGTCCGCATATTATGGATTATTTTTTGGGGGTGGGGGGGTGAGGGATCATAGAAAAAAAGTTGGGGAAAAAAAAAAAATCGCACTGCAAACTGCATGCAAAGCAATGCTGACTTGTTGCTCACTGCAACTCCATGCTGCGCAGAAAAGTCACGTGCCAGCTCGTCCTAATTGAGTAGAACTTGACCTCCCAGAAGACCGTGGGGCCCAACGGGTTATATATATAAAAAACTTTTATTTTCTATGTGGAGAGACCGGTATACGAAGGAAACATTGCCTGCCGATGTAGTTTTTTTTGTAGTTTAGTAGTGTACTGTACAGTAACTAACATTGGTTAAGTGATGGGTTTTTTATATTTTTTATGCATTTTTAGCACACTATAAAAAGCAAGAAAGAACACTATAAGCTAAAAAAAAATTACAAAATTTGGTCATTATAGATATAATGGGGTAAAAAAAACCTTTAACATGGTACTCCACCGTAGTTATGCCAGTATTTGGAGGACACATTGTGATCACGATATAAGTAGTTAATGTGTTCAACGTAGTCTTATTGGAAATAAGACCACTTTTAATAATACCAGGACACTTCACCCTTAAATTAGCCCGGTGTTTGGAGGACACACCGTAATAACTTCACAAGTTGTAAATGGGCTAAATTTGTACTTCATTGAAATAACAGATATACTGGGTCACTCTACCCCTGAATTGTCCTGGTATTTCGAGGACAGCGATCGATGGGAGCTGGGACCGATCAACGATCTAGGCCGCAACCTTTATGCGAGTGGCTTGAGGGTCACTGCAGTCGTCAAAGCGAATGCAGTAGCCGACCTCGTGACCCAGCAACGCGCCTCTCTCCTCGGCAACTCGCGCTGCGACCTGGCCACATCATCCAAGGTGGATGGAGGCAGACACGTATATACAGACACACACACACAAAGCAGTGAGTACATGGATGACACACTGAAGCAGTTTGGATCACAAGGACAAAGTGTGGCGTGTTATGGAAACAAGGGACGGGACAGGAGGGAGATCCAATGCTGTCGACGTCCAGTTTGGGGATGACACATGATGATGATTTACAAGAGTGGCACACTGACATGCTCATCAAAAAGTGTTTGTTGCGTGTCAACAAAAACCAATATGAATCAACTTTTTTTGCAAAATAGGTGACATTTTTGCCAATGGCCTTCTTACACATAGCAGAAGAATGGCCGTGGATGAATGTGCCGAGTATTGGAAACTACTCGAAGCAAAGACAGACAACGAGCGGTGTGCGTTTTCACCGTGGTCGCTGCGACCCTCCGTGGTTGCGTGATGGCCACGACGTGTCCCTCCGCTGTCCAGCCGGCTTCTGCCAGGTACTGCGCAAGACGACGCAATTAAGACACGACAGAACACCGCTTTGGCATATGCACCTCGTTCTCCCTCTCCAATTAGAAACATATTAACTTGTCGGTGCAAAACAAGTTGCCACCGATACTTGTTCGAAAAATGACAAGGTTATTATTTTCCACCATGTTTGCCATTTATTCACTAAAAAGTAGCTGAAAAGGTTATTTCACTAATAAATGCAGCAGGATTTATAAATATACAACCCTTTGTCATTCCACTGCTTGACAAAGGTCTCTCCACACCTTGGTGATCATGCTGGTCATCGTGAGTTCGTGAAGGGGATGCCACAGACCAGTTCAAAATATCACTTATCAATGACATCAGGCTGTGTGTATCCAGCAACTGACCTCAAGTGGCCAAGTTTATGGTGCAGCGTACTAACCATCACACCACATCTGATGAGATTTAAAAACATATACATTTCTCACAGTTTACCCCACCACATTGAGCACAAATCTACAGGAAAGGCACAATAATAAAGTATAGTGAACCACTGATTATGCTATGTATATCAAACTTTAAGTCACTTCCACAGCTCCAACACCCATGCGTACCTGGGGAATTTGTGTGCTTTTACCGCATCCAGTCTCACCCACAATCACAACAGTGCGGTATTTCTCCACCAGGTAAAGGATATGATTCCTGTGCTGAACAATACATTGCACAAGGAAAAACAAATCAATAACTGAAAAAAAACCCGTAAATCTAGTTAAATCATATTCTGGGCACATATATAATCATTTCACAATGCACTTGGCATACGAGGCAGGAGATGCATGGCATGAGAATGCAGATGCACGGAATCGGAGGAAGGAGATGCCTTGAAGGATGTGTGTGAAGTCGAGATGGGAGCTGCATGGTTTGAGAGGAATATATGTGCAGTCAGAGGTGAGATGCCTGAAGAGGTGAGACATGAGTGGACAGGAAGGAGGTCTGAAGTCAGATACGTGTATGACCTGCCATATATGTTAAGGCAGGTAATACACTGAATTTAAAGCAACAATCCTGACACCTCAAAATTCTTTGATAGCAACTATTAACGTTGGCAAGGCGCCATGAGGATTTGTCGTGCACTGCAAGTACCATGAATATGGGCAAACGCTGTCGCTGCTGCTGGATGGAAAGGGAGGTGTGAGGGTTGTACACAAATGCCGTGGAGGCCTCTTCCCCCGCAGTAGCTCGCTCCTCCCCAACTCCAGGCGCCTCCGTCCCTACCACATGAACAACGTGCAATGTTCATCTGTATGAAACATTCTCCATAGTCTAGCCTCACATTATCATCGTCAGCAGCAGCAGCAGCAGCCACGGGCACTCCACTGCTCCATGAAGGCTAAGCCGTCACGATGTCACATGGTTCTTGCAATGGAACAGCAACTGCACAAGAGCTGATTTTATTACATACATTACATACTCTCGGCCATGTGGTGTGGGAAATATACTGTAACCTAGAGAGATTCGTACAAACAGCGACACTGCTCCACACACACATCAGTCACAAGAAACTTGGGGATAAATTGTTACGAATGGCATTTTCTGTCAGGTCAGCCCATCTCTCTCCACATGTCACCTTTGGGATTCTTGGGATACAAGTGTTATCACCAGAGGCCCAAAGAGCCAGACTAAAACACCTTTACTCTTTGGGGTTTTTTTTTACCTACGTGACTTTACCGAAAAAAATAAAGAGTATGGACCCTTGCAGTCACCAAAACTTCAAATCTAAAATTAAAACACCTTTAATCAGATGCCAACTTCAGGCCCCATGGTGAAAAGTGGTCTCCAACTCTTATTATCCACTTCCTGTCCTCTGTATGTGCTGTGAAGGGCCCCTGCCCCAAACTTCACCGTATATATATTAATGTAAGTGTTATTTACGAACGCGTTACATTTTTTACGTGTGCCTGTGCATCACTGCCAACGCAGCATCATAAACTAATTTAACATTTTAGGCACCTTTGTGATTCTCGGGGCTCAGTGTAAATACCAAGGCTCAAGAGCCAGAGGGGCTGTGGTGGCGCACGCCTTTAATCCAGCACTGTGCGAGGGTTGGTGAAAACTCCCTTCCCGTGGGCATAAGGGTGCCATAAACCCTGGCTTCCAGGGCGGTAGTACAGCAAATGTGGACTCCACCTGTTCCTTCTGTATGGGACGGTCCTCCGGTTTTCCCTCTACATTTAGAATCAGCTTACGTTCAGAGTATTTGGATGTTATAAATGTCCACGTGATACGCCACTTCACTGGGCTACTATCATTTGTGGCCCGGTCGTTTCTGAAAAAAAGCTACATTGCTGTGGGGCTCATAGCAGTCAACCCATACGGCTTACAAGTATTCTTGCACAGGGAAATTGAGTTTGCACGTCCATACGGCGTACAGCCGTTTCAATACGGGCTTTGTAGGGTGAACTGAGATTTATCAGGGCATGGGGTGACCCATAAGGTCTGAATTGGTCTGTAATAAGCTGGGCACTGACAAGGGGTTGACAGGTATGTGGGGGCCTTACCTGGTAAAATAAAATGTAAAGTCACGTAGAAGGGAAATAATTAAATTAAATATATAAAACAATAAAATTGTATTATTGTTGTGAGATTTTTATTTTTTATATTTTTATTCTTTTATTATTTCCCTTCTTCGTTACTTTACCGAAAGAACCGAGAATATGAATCCCTGCAGTCACGAAGGCTTTAAATAAAAAAAAATGTTAAATATTACCTCCTGGCTCGCCAGGGTTTTCTGTGGGTGCTCCGGTTTCTTACCACATGTATAATTGGCTGAAAACATCTTAATATGTGAACGACAATATATTTGATTCCGAAAATAATTATAAATTATATATATTATTAAATGCTCCACTGAGATTCTTGGGTTTCGTTTGAATGATCACGCCTCAAACACCACACTCAGGGACGCTTGCAATTTCAATGGTCCGATATTCACACAAACACGCTTCGAGCAGAAAAGTATAAGAGCTACATAGTTACTTTATAAGACTGGCATTAAATGAATACGAGAGTAAGCACCAGGACTAAGTGCCCCATCCACATCCCACCGAGCCTCTCGCGATATTCCAACCGAGGAAGATGCGCCTCTCCCGGCCAAGAATCTAGGAAAGACCGTTGTTAACAAGGCCTCAACAACAATTCCGTGCATACAGCAACAGTTGCTATTTTTTTTTTATGACATTGCACAAGCGAGGGATGACTATAAGAGAAAGGTAAAATGCGGCGAGCGAGCGAGCGAGTGAAGGACGAGGTGAAATATATCCCGCACCTGGCTTCCAGAATTTGGGAACCACTCGTGTGGCCGCCATGACGGTCAGACGCGTGCGGGCGGCGTTGACCAATCGGCGCGCAGCACCGCGATGACGTCATGGCGGGAAAGTTACGGGATAAATAATAAATATTTATTGCGCAACTTTTATTCTAACTTTACCGAACCCTCTAACGTTGATCCCCCTGTTCGTTTCAGAATCGTCGCCGTTGATTGTTCGAAGATTTGTATTTTTGTTGCAATGTGTGCTGTGACGTGACCGGCGGGGAGTGGCACGACGGGGATTCGATTTCATAGCGCGCATTGACACAAACGCAACCCCCTCCCCTCCCCCCCTGAGGACCGCATTACCACGAGTTGAGAAAAAAATGTTAAAATGTTGCGTTTGCAAATGTAACATTTGACATTTTAAAAACTCAAAAAATACGACGGTAAAAAAAAAAAATCAACAACAGCAAACAACATCGTCAAAAGTTAAAGGCGTTTTCAATGTGCTAAATATACGGAATGAATAATTCATATCAATCCGCGGGTCTTTCATATTAAATTCGTGTGAATTGACTTCGTACACCCCCTCCCCCATCTACAACCCCCTCCCCCATCTACACCCCCCACCCCATCTACACCCCCTCCCCCATCTACACCCCCCACCCCATCTACACCCCCTCCCCCATCTACACCCCCCACCCCATCTACACCCCCTCCCCCATCTACACCCCCCACCCCATCTACACCCCCTCCCCCATCTACACCCCACCCCCATCTACACCCCCCCACCCCTCCCCATGGTACACCCCCCTTCCCCCACCCTTCCCCCTCCCCCATGTACCCCCCCTTCCCCCCACCCTTCCCCCCTCCCCCATGTACCCCCCTACCCTTTACCCCTCCCCCATCTTCCCCCTTATCCCTCCCCCCTCCTTTCATCCCCCTCCCCACTCCCACCGACCCATCCCCCTATCCCACCCCCGATAACTTCCCCCACTCCCCCGTCCCATCCCACGAATGTCCTTCGCGCGCCCCCCCCTCCTCTCCGAACTCTTCTGTGATTGGTCACCCCCTCCCCCCCCCCCCGTATGCTTGGCCAATGAACGCGGCCGTAGGCGTGGTCGCCGCGGCGGCCTCGGTCACGTGCTCGCAGGCGCGGGCCAATAGCGCGCGGGTCAATGGAGTTGGAGGGGAGGGGCGAGATTGGGGTGCAGGTGAGGGCGGGGGCTGGGGGGGAATAAGAGGGGGCGGGGCTGGGGGGAAGGAGGAGGAGAGGGGGGGGGGATGGAGGAGGGGGATGGCAATGGGGAGCTCTTTGTAAATTTATCGCAAATCGAAAGTAAAATTTATAATCTCGCCACCTTTATTATTCGCGCGCGAGGCGATTAGTTAATTATCATTTATAAATTGTCGCGAATTATTTTGTTTAATGTCGTTCGTGTTGACGCGTCGCTGAATCGCGATTCGTTTTGGCGGAGGTTTAAACTGAAAAAAATGTCCGCAAATTAAGTCTAAAAGAGCACCAAAACGGCGACTAAGAACTGCCCCCAATGTGAACAACAGGTAAAACGGGGGGGGGGGGGAAGCGCTCGCGAGTTACGATAATAATTGTAAGAATGTATATTCGCACGTCAAGATTGAAAAGCAAAAAAAATCTGCAATAGTTTTTGGAGTTTCTGACGAAAGTTTGATGCTTGAGGGGGAAGGGTTTCGCCTCGCAATATCGCGCGCGGGTTGGCAGTCGTTAAGCAATGGTCGATATTAAGTTAATCTTTTATTTTTTTAAGTCGTCGCCTTCCTGCTCGTTCGAGTTGGTTTTTTAAACCTGAAAGCGATGCGTTTGTTATCGCTCGCGAGTATTTTTGCTTGTTTGTTTTTATTTTTAATGAACAAAAAAGTTGTTAAGTGTCGCTTCGCAGAGCGAGTAAAGTAATATTTGGCGTTGCCTGCTTGGCACTACTCTAATGTGTACAGTATTATATAATGTGCGATTGTTCTACGAGTTGTTACGGTCGTTTCTCATTTTAGTCTTCGATAAATTGTTTAATTTGGCACACTTTATTCGTGTTTATTTGCTCGTTGTGAATTTAATGTTTTTTTTTGTTAAAAAGTTGCCCCCGTGTTCTACAAATTAGGTCAAAGGTGATTTCTTAACGTCGATGCCAGCGTATTTATGTTTAAAAGTTGAACTTTTAATTGTGTTTTAGAGTACATGTGTAGTGAGCGATGTTTAAAGCTTTAAAGTGAGTTATAAAGTGCCGTCGCTTAATTGTATTGATTTTGTCACGTACTGTATTGCTATTCAAGTGTACATTGTATTGCACTGTACTTCACAAAGGAATGTTGCTTTAGGCTTGTGCTATAATTATAGTTATAGCGTAGTTATTATTGTAGTATTTAGAATGTTAGGTGAAATAACGTCGTGTACTATATAGCAATATAATAAAATGAACATTAGTCATACCAAATAATAAAATTACATAATACATCGATTAAAAATATTGAGCTTATTCATTATGATATTGTCTTTGTAATTGTATGATGGGCATCATAACATTTAATAATCTTAACCAAAGTAACATTTTACTTGTTGGTGAGATTTACCAGTCTTTCGTAATGATTCTAAATAAGTACGATCAAATCTGTAAGGATAAACCATTCAACAGATTATAATTGTTTGCACAACCTTGTGCTATTGACACTTAATTATTGTGGTTATTTCATTTTAGTGTTTAATGGAAAGAAGAGTTAGTAATGATGGTGCCTGTAAAACATTCCAAAACTAAATTAGACAAGTCGAAATAATATTGTAGAGAAGCGATGACATTGTACTAACTGGTACATCGAATATTTATCGTGACCATCACAAAGAATTAAGCTCGTTATTAATTGTTATAACAAAGCATTAATAATAATGGTGCTTCTTTAAACAATTCTTTCAATGTGTACAGCTTGGCCATGCAATATGAAGACACTAATTACAAATACAATTGCTCTTGATAGTGTTAAGCGGTAATTGTGCTAATACCGTAATAACCGATAGCTTTTGTTCGTGTACTTAACAGCTTTTAATCAATGCGACTTTATGCTGCTTGCCAATCGTTTTTATATTAATGATCGCTAATATTTTGTATTCATGATAAGTAATAATGGTGCGTTTAATGGAAACATACAATGGAATGTTTGCTATGCAAAAGGGGCCATTTGCCCGAAACGTCTGTATCGCGGCATAACATTTTACTTGGAGAGGCAGTGTTGTTGAGGAATATGATTTCGTGTGTTACTTTCACGTAATCTTTGTT